AAGACTTAGGGCTGCAGGCGCCTGAATCAGGAGTTATGTTTGACATTCTGGGTGCTCTACATCGGGTTTTCCTATAGTCTCCATTGTAGTTCCTTCTTTTGGTTTGACCGGTTATATATAAAGGATTTCACAAGGTATCCCCGGTAGGGTTTAGGGTTGCGGCCGCTGATGCACCACGGCCCCAGGCCTAGAGCATGAAGCTCAAAAGGCCAAAAACATCATTACTGGCACGAGGGTGTTAGATATAAGCCGTAAATCTCGCTACACCGCTACATCCTAAAAGAACCTGTAAATCCTCGTGCACCCTGAAACCGTAGAAATCTCTATAATTCCTTCAAAGTCACCGGCAAGGTGGGGCAACTGCAGCAACCTGGTCATGCTGCTGCCGCATGGGCTGGAGGGCCAGGCGGGGCCAAGGGGATCCACTTAAGCCCTAGAAATCCATGTGCCCAAATATTGTATACTTAGGCCCCAAAGTACCTATATAGGGACGACTTCAAGGCCAATGTACATACTGTATGAGCACATGGACCCTTAGGGAACTTGACCGCTCACTTGGTTTGTGTTTTGTGGTTATAAAGGTTGGAGGGGGTCATAACGCCTTGTAGGATTTGCTAGGTCAACAGGTTTATGGAGGTTGAGAGGACTATATGGTGCTCATGGTGTTTCAAACAGTTTTGCAGTCTAGGGTTTTACATCATAGGGTTCAGGGCTTACGTCGAATCGGACTGAACAGTCACCCACGGCTTAGGGGTTTAGGACTTTATATAACCGTTTAGGGTTTAGTCCGGGAAGTGCAAACAATTCCGACAGCTCTAGCCTGTAGGGCTCAAAACCCATACTGTAGATAGCGTTTTGGCTGTTGACGAGCTTGTGGAATCCTATAATGAAGTGCGAGGAAGTGGTGCGTGCGAGGAATCGCAGACGTGCCAACCTGTTCGGTGATACAGACACCACCTTGGCCAACATGAGGGCTTAGGGCTTACAAGGTCTAGGGTTTAGGTCTTAGGGTCTAGGGTTTAGGGGCAGAAATCGAAGAAACACAGAGCCATGAAGCAGTGGCTGACGATTGCCGGAGCTACCCTCCCCCAGATTAAGCATTGAGTCCCCCCTTGGGCATCCAGTGCTGAAGAACCTCAAGGTTTAGGGTTTCGGGTTTCGGGCTTGCCACAGAGGTTCATCTTTTGCCGGTCTCTTCGACTTGCAGAAGCAATGAGCAGGTTGCTCTTGCATGGAACAGGTCTGTTAGACTGTGTTTCTGCTTGCTCGATTTGCTTCTCTGCTCTGTCAATTTGACTCCTTGCGCCTTTTCCAAACCCACTCTAAGGGTCCAAGTAAACCTACAACGCTCCGAAGCCTTGTTCATGTGCTCTCTATAACACACGGAAGCGTTTTGCATTGTAAATACCAGCGAAAACGCGCACTTGTCATTTATTTGCCTGGGTGTGCAAAGTCTGCGTTTCTGCGTCAAAAAGACGCTAGTTAGCCATGTAGATGCTAGCTGAAAACACATTGAGTTTTGTTCGGTCTGCTCATCGACCGGGGTTTGTCGGCAAGCGCTAAGAACTCGAGGAATCTCTCGCACAAGAACAGATCAACGAATTTGGAAACACAGAAAATCGCAGGAGCTTTTCGCAGTGTAAAAACCCAGGACGCGGGGCCCTGGAATACATGACGAGGTGATGTATGTGGCTGAGTCTCGAACTGAATCTGAAGCAGGTGGCAGGCGCGACATTTCGTGACTTTGGCGTGTTCATTGACGCTTTGTTGTTTCATTTTTGTGCGGGTATTCGTTTTTTTTGGCCTGTCTGACTGTTTGGTACGAGGTATGCGCACTGAAGAGTCGCATTATCCCTGGAACTCGGAGCAACCCAAGAACTTTTCGAGCTTGCGTGTCAGACATGACCAGCTCAGATTACGTGTACTTGGACTGCGCCAGACTGAAACGTGGAGACTCATGGGCCGCACGGGTTTAGGGTTTAGGGGTTACATAGAGGCTTAGGGTTTATGACGGGCGGACAAACCTTGGCCAAGTGGGCTTTGTTGTCCTTCCTGATGGCATTTCGGAAGCATCAGTCGCAGCCCAGACACGTGGTGTAGCATAGGAGACAGACATCACAGCACTAAACGCCAAGCGACGTAGTGTAGCTAGCACATGCAAGGACCGTAGCTGGAGACCTAGACCAGAGTACGGTCTCTCTGAGGTTGGATTAGCAAGGACCTGGGTTGGAGGCCTAGACAAGAGTACGCAACATGCTCTTAAGCAGAATCGCTGTAGGAAGTGCATAGCAAATGTTGAGGATTATGCATGACGGAAATATCCCCCCTGCAAAACTGTGGCGTGCAAACCCTGGCAATACCGAAGCCAAAGGGTTCTGAAACCTTCGTGCAAAAGTGCGTGTGAACAGGTCTTTGGAAGCAATAACCATGCCCCTGGCTGCCTACATGTATATACATATATATATATAAAGATGTATATATCTATGTATGTATGTATGTATGTATGTATGTCTGTATGTATGTATGTATGTACGTCTGTATGTATGTACATACATATATATATATACATATATATATATATATATATATTTGTATACGGCTGCCATGCTCAACCACAGCATCTCCTTAACAATCAGAATGGGGTTCTGGGGTATCTTATACTATAGCTATACTACATTGGGCCCCAAGACCCTATTCTAATTATTAAGGAATCTTATACTATAAGTATAATATGGAATCCCCAAAATGATGTAGGTAATCAGTAAGGCCCCTAGATTTAGGCATGTCCTCGGTCAGAGGTTTGGGAGCATGTCCTCCAGATCTCGACCACAAAGACATATGGTTTAGGTTTTGGGGTTTAGGGTTTGGTGTCTAGGGTTTAGGGGTTAGGGTTTAGGGTCTAGGGTTGAGGGTTTAGGGTCTAGGGTTTCGGGTTTTGGGTTTACGAATGCATGCTTGAACACCTGTCATGGGCTTGTTTGTAACCCTAAGGCTCCATGTGCCCATATAGTAGATACTTAAGCCTTAAAGTACCAACATAGGGACCCCTTTAAGGCCTAAGTATCTACTATAAGGGTACATAGAGCCTTTGGGTAAAAGCATGGAAATGCCGCGGAAGGCCGCACACTAGGGGAACCGAACCCCTAAACCCTAAACCCTAAACCCTAAACCCTAAACCCTAAACCCCTAAACCCTAAACCCCTAAACCCTAAACCCCTAAACAAAGCATCGAAACTTCAGCCCCAAAGCCGGAAGCCCTAAATCCCTTACCCAGAGGGTCCGAGTACCCAAATAGTAGGGTTTTAGGTCCCAAAATCCATACTCTGAATGGTTTTTGGACCTTGAAACCCTACTATTTGGGTACTTGGACCCTTAGGGTTATTGGTTTAGAGTTTAGCGTGATATCATCCTCTGAATTTAATTCCTACGGAACCATATTTCCCTGTCTAAACGGGCCTGAACATACGCATCTCAGAATAGTGTGGATGTCTGTCTGTTTCTGGTATCCCCCCTGTATGCCAAAACTACGATCCTTACGCTTTACGCTTTGGTGCCGTCCAAAAGGTCCCTAAACCCTAAACCCCTAAACCCATAAACCCTGTGAGCCCTAAACCGTGAACCCTAAACTCTAAACCCTAAGCCCCTAAACCCTACACCCTAAACCCTAAACCGCTCTCGCACTTCTCCAGGGCCCCGAGCATTCCTCTGCACGCCCCGAGCGTTTTCTACAGCTCCTGGACGAGGACTCCTTTTGGCGAGCCAAGGGGGCCATTTACAAATACAAAGATAAACACATAGATAAATATACAAATATATATATATATATATACACATAGATTTAAAAATATTTTTATCTACATATAGTGCAGAACTAATATGTATGTTTTTTGGTTGGGGGGCGTTGAGGGTATGCTTGTCTTTGTTGGGAGGTTTACAGTAGAAGCCCAAAAGTTGGAAACCCAATAGCCTCAATCCTTAACAGTAATGTATAGGGAATCCCAGCACTATTTGTCCTTAATCCGGTGTCCAACTCTTTGGGGTTCCCCCTAAACCCTAAACCCTAAACCCTAAACCCTAAACCCTAAACCCCTAAACCCTAAACCCTAAACCCTAAACCCTAAACCCTAAACCCTAAACCCTAAAGTTGGGGGTTGCTATAGGGTGAGCCAGCGACGCTCGAATTGTCTTTTGAGTGCGCCGACAGCATACGCCGGAGTGGCCTAGAGTCGTAGAGGGACTTAGGGTTCAGGTTTCAGGGTGTAGGATTTAGGGTTTAGGGTTTAGGGTTTAGGGTTTAGGGTTTAGGGTTTAGGGTTTAGGGTTTAGGATTTAGGGTTTAGGGTTTGGGCTTTAGGGTTTTAGGTTTGGGGTTTACTCGCAGCAAATGGACCCCTTGGGAAGGCTAGTTCCCAGATTATGGCCTGAGTGTTCGGGGTCAGGGGCTTGAGAGGTTGGGGTGTTGATTGCGGCTCGGGATGTATGCACTTTTTCATTTTTGTGCTTTGTTTGTTTGGTTTTGTTGTGTGTGTATTCGGTTATGTGTTTGTATTGCTTGCATGTTCGTTCTTGTATGTCTGTACGTATGTATGTAAGTCCTTATGTACATGTATGTGCAGGTGCATCTGCATGTGTGTGTGCTTATGCGCATTTCCGTGGGCTTAGACTCAGACACACAAACACGCACATGCATTTTTCACATGTACACTACGGTTCAGGGCTTGGGGCAGAACGTCTGGAGCAATTAACAGAGCAGCTGTAAACCAGTACCCTAGAGTGGACCTGACAGCAGAACCCGTTATCCATATTGAAGGACGTGCAAATAAACATACGTACATACATATGAAGAGAGAGAGAGAGAGAGAGAGATATATATATATATATGTGCAGTGAATCTTCCATATAGACATGCACAATAACGTGTTTGCCGAACATGAATAGAACTCGCATGAACAAATTCGCAGGATGTCTTCGCAATTAAAGTTTATACGGGCGTTTTTTGAATGGAGGTGGCTTGGGATTCAGACCTGCAGGACCCCAACGTCCTGTGGCCGGCGGAGAACGAGGAGTTGACGGAGAAGACCAAGCAACTCGTCTCAATCGCCGTTGTCGGTCAACCGCCTGCATGAGGGGTAAAGGTTTAGAGAGCCCTATGCTGTTGTGTTGTCGCGGTTGTGCTTATTAGAGTTTTTTCGGGTGTCGGGTTGTTTTGTGAGCATTCGGTGTTGATGATAACTGCAGTGTTGCCATTAGGCTTTCGGTTCATTCTTGTTGCCAAGTCTTCATGCCTCGCAGCTCCCTTCGAAACTGCAGTAGAACATCCTGGGAATGGTCGTAAATAGGGCGACGGCAGGCAGATTTGCTTCTGTAACAGTCCTGCCAGGCAAAGACTAAGGGACCGACTTTGAAAGTAATTGTTGCCATGCTCCCAACAATCATGTGTAGTAGTAGCTATGTAACTATTCTGCTGCGCCAGACACATGCACACCTATGAAGCACCCGAAGGAACTCTACCCATCTGGAGCTTTGCCGCATTGGTCGTATGAATTTGTTCTACGGATATTATAAGGCCGCAGGTTCAGCACACCCTATTAGCAGAATCTCTGCGCGATCGCGCGACATAGAGTCAAGCAAGTCGGAACAGGCAGCATGACTCATTCTTGCTGTCGTTCTTCACCAGGTTTGGGCTGTGGGATGATGACGGTTCAATTTTATTAATACTCTGAAACTTATGAGATACATAGGGCCTAGACGATTACGAATGTGGCTCCTTGGGGTTCCTAAGTAATTGTACGATGGCGCGCACCAACGCCCTCTTCCAATTGTCAAGGCCCGCATAGTGAAACCATCGTAGTGCGTCACCCCTCAAAGGGACCCTCAAGCGGATTCATATTCCAATAATTCTGAACGCTATGCAGCCCTTCCACAAGCTTTTCCCTCGATCCGGATCCTAGCCCCTAAAACCTAAGCCCTTATAGACTTGCCATCCTAACCCCTAAACCCAAAACCCCTAAACCCTAAACCCTAAAATCGGAACCTAGCGCCTAAAACCCTAAACCCTTATAGACTTAAAGAACCCGCAAAGCATCCCTGCAAGAAAGCATAGACCCTCCGCGACCTTGTCCCTGAAACCGAAACCAAGCCCCTGAACCAATTAAAGCCTTGTGCTTAGGGACCAAAATATCACTTAAATGTTTTAAATGATATTTTGGTCTCTACAAGGGTTTAAAAGAGCCGTAAACCACAAAAACAACAATTTGAAAGGAACCTAGACCCTTCCACAAGCCTTTCCTAGGCGCCAGGCGCGTGAGGCCGTCGCGAATGTCCTGGAAGCCACAGCCGCGGGCGATGCGCCTTGGCTGAAGGCTTCAGGGTTTACGGGTACTATAAGGGTTGCTTTAAAGGGTACCCTAAACCCTAAACCCTAAACCCTAAACCCTAAACCCAAACCCTAAACCCTAAACCGTAAACCCTATAAGGGTTTAGGGTTTTCTGGGTTTTTGGGCGTTTGGGCTGAGGCATTCAGGGTTCACGGGTTTTCAGTTGACGGGCTTGGGGTTGAGGGTTTAGATTTTAGGGGCAGGGTTGACGGGTTTCCAGCAAGAGTTTAGAGTTGAGGGGTTCAGGGGTCAGGGGTTTAGCAGTTTAGGGGTTGTTTAGGGGTTTAGGGCTGTGGGGTTTAGGGTTCAGGGTTTGAATGTTCCTGAAGAGGGTTTAGGGCTCTTGGGCCTTTCGGGGTCTCTATGGGGTGCTACTGTAGAGGGTTGACGACCAGCTGCACGAAAGCCTAATCAACACATCCAGCTTCTCCGTCGCATCTGGCTTCCCGGATTCCGCTTTGTGACAGCCACTGCGCTCATGCAAGCACGACGTCGAAGAGATGAAAAAGTGTCCATGTATGTCACCGGTGCTGCCGCTTGCTGCCGGTTCTAGGCTGCAGGTGGTAGTGCCAGCCGTGCGTTTCGAGCAGTGTGCATGCACAAACATTCTAACGTGGAGGAAGCTCTTCAATACCAAGCCCACAGAGGCCAAAGACAGTGCTAAACCCTAAACCCTAAACCCTAAACCGCTGAAGTCGGAGACGAGCCGCTCAGTTGTGTTGCCTTTACGAATGTCCATTGCACCCCCTCACAGTATACGAGTGGTTCCGCAATCAAGGGGCTCCCCAACCTCGCGGCGAAACCTGAGAACTCATCAACAAAGTGCTGCCTGGCAGTGTGCTGCCTGATCCTTTTCTTAAACCGCGCGGTGGAATGCATAAGTTTTACTAGCATGGTCGTCGAATCACTGTGCATAGGGGCCTCTGATTAGGGCTTCTTTAAGGTATCTGTAACGGTTCTACAAGGCTTCAACGATTTTGAGGTTTGGGTTCAGGTTGGTAGGGATGGGTATAGGGTTTTAATCACTCAAGATTTTTTGGGAAAGGGGCATATGTTTCGTGTTAACACCCTCAACCACCTAAGCCCTGAACCCCAACCCTCTAAACCCCAAACCCAACGGGTACTCCAGAATCGCAGCCCAAGATCCCACGAGGGCCATAAAACAGCTTTGGGTTTAAGGTTTAGGGTGTAGGGTTGAGGGGTTTGGGTGCCAGGTTTAGGGGTTCGGGTATATAGGGTTTTCGGGTTAGGGGTGCTAACTTACTGTTGCGGGCCCGTGGCTAAACCCGCAAACCCCAAACCCTACCTATAGTCTCCATTGTAGTTCCTTTTGGGGGATGCCTTATAAAATCCTTAATAAGTAATTGGTTAAACCAAAAAAAGGAACTACAATGGAGACTAAACCCTAAACCCTAAACCCTATAGAAACCCTTATAGATCCCTTTAATGAACCCCTTTGGAGACTACAGGTAAGCCTCCAAATTCCTGAAGTCCAAGGCCCTCGCTGTCGAGCGCAGCGTCGGTCGACTAGCCGTCCTGCAGGCACGAAGCAGTGCCCTAAACCCTAAACCCCGAAGCCCTAAACCCTAAACCCTAAACCCTAAACCCTAAACCCTAAACTCCTAAACCCTAAACCCGAAACCCCTAAACCCTAGGGTGGAGGTGTCTTGGGAAGTGCTAGGGCTCTTCTGCAGGGTTGTACTAGTTGGGTTGCTCAGGCTAGGGGTGCACAGGGGGTTTACAGGCTGTAGGGTGTTGTTTTCGGCTTGGGGACTAAAAGCGTTGGGATTTGATGGGATGTAAACCCCAAATCCTGCAAAACACTAGGTTATGATTCATGATGCCTTCTATAGCCCTATAAGGGATTCCTGGAGCCTTCCAAACATAATCTTGAACAAGTTTCAATCACCCGTACACACCTTCGTAAAGAGTGGTGCCTGAAACTAGTATTCGGCTTCGGGCCATGCATGATCCAAGCCACACCGTGGGCCCAACAAATACATGGTTCTGAATAATCAGTCTGACTATCCCCTTGGCCTTGTTGTCCTTCTTGGAAATATAGTATCCCCCAACACCTTGTTCTTAGCCCAGAATACCTGCTCTCTGCAAGGATGTGATCATAGCCAACTCTTCTCATACACACATACATCACACATACGTATATATATATATATATATATGAACACGTATCGATACACGTATTTTGTAGGGGTTGGGGTTGTGGGTATTGCTTACATGTGCCATGCTGAGCTGGGAGTTTCCGAAAATAAGGGTACCTTATTCTGGGGTCCTTATAATAAGGATCCTACTATTTAGGGTACTATATTAGGGTCCCCTATTTTCGGAAACCCCCAGCTCTCCCTCTCGCAGAGGAGAGCTTCGACTACTGTCGGAACATGCTCGTGGCGCCACTCGCCGTGCATCTGTCCGCTTCAAAGGATCATGAGACTTACGAAGGGCCATATTTCTATACATACATATTGAATGTACATGTGTGTATATATATATATATACATACAGAGAGAAAAGAGAGAAAACATAATGGTTACACGCCTATCCAAGGCCTCAAAAAAGCCTAGGGCTGTGCAGGATCATGGAATTTTTTGGGCTCAGGGCCGTGACTTTGGGTTTCAGAGATCACTTGATGGTAGTCGGAGTTCGATGCAAGACAACCCCAGCCAGGAAACCTGCCGTCTTCCGTGAAACTCAATAGCCGAGTAGTAGGGTTTAGGGTTTAGGGTTTAGGGTTTAGGGTTTGTAGATAAGCTTCAGAATTATTGGGATTAGGGTTGAGGGATTAGGGTTTCGGGTTTAAAGGGATTATATAAACCGCGTTTCGCTAAGCAACTAGGAGAAACTGCCTGCTAACTCACCCGAGCCTCAGTAGGGTTTTGGGGCCCATTAAACTATATAGTTATAATAAGGACGCCCCCCGCCCGTATTGGTAAGTATTTCGGCCCCTGTATTATGGAGGTTCCAGGAAAAGCACCAAGCACAACTTTCTAAAGCTCCTAAAACCCACCTCAAATTTGCCAGCTCTCCTAAAAAAATTTGGGTGGAAAGGAACGCCCAAGATTCCTTGAAGTATACGAGTCTTTGACCCTACACGGTTTAGGGTTTGGGGTTCAGGGTTTGGCCCCCAAGCCCGAAACCCTAAACCGTAGGGACAATAATGGAGACTGCGGGAACTGGGCAGACGGTCTGTTACCTGCTCCCACCCCTTTGTTACCTTAACAGTCTGCGCTGCATGGTGTCGGTATGAAGATAGGGTTCAGGGCTTAGGCTTTAGGGTTTAGGGTGTGGGTTCGGTTTTTAGGCTTAGGGTTTAAAGGGTTTAGGGTTTAGGGTTTAGGGTTTAGGGTTTATGAAAGACAAACGGGTTTCAAGTAGATCAAGGCCCCTTTATGTGGTGCGTGAAACACGGCAAGATTTCTACACCGTGTGCTACACACCATGCATTTCTGAAACAGCCATGCATCAACAGGTGCCAGGGCTTGAACCCAGCAGAGCGGGGTGTGCTGTCAACGAGATCTCCTACCCTGAGCACTCTGCCACAAGGAATCTCAAGAACCGTGGCCGTAGCCCAGACCTTAGGCCCAGATCCCAAAACCCGAAGCCGAAAGCATAAACCCTAATCCAGGAAAAAAAGGATCCAGGCACACCAAATCCAAGCCCCAAAGGCCAAAACGTAAATCACGACATCGGGGCGAACCTAGGCGAAGAACAGCTTCGTTTCGTTAAACTGTAACGTCCTGAGGTACATCACCACACCGGCCAACTTGTTCCACGTTCTGAGGAGGCTGCTCAACGCAACAAAGCCTGCAGCTTTAGCGGTTCAGCCCAGGTAATATAGGGACCTAAATAATTACCTTTTAGTATTTTGGTAGTTCCTTATTGTAATTGTGGTATAATGGGCCCCAAAACCCTATTCTGATTATAAGGCCCCTACATTATCTGTGGGTCACATACCGAAGCGGGAAGGGGTCGTTGTAGGGTCTGCAAATAGAACTTGGAATTCAAATCCCAAACCGTCAACGACTTCAAAGAGGCAGATCGGTTGAGTTCGTGATCGCGCTTCACACGTCGGGGTTTTTGGGAAGGCCTAGGAGTTGGAATGTAGTAGACAAATTCCCGTTCATCATGCATGATGGTGTCGGCCTCTTGTTGGTCAATTCTTGGGTACCGATGGAGTAGGTAAGTGGACCCTAAACCCTAAACCCTTAAACCCTAAACCCTAAACCGTGGGTACCGATGGAGTAGGTAAGTGGAACCATCGACTCGTCATGGCAGTGGTCTGACTTGATGATCGCAAGGATGGAAAGAGAGGATATCTGGGGTAGGGTTTAGGGTTTAGGGTTTTGGGTTTTGGGTTTTGGGTTTAGGGATAGCCCCTGTTTAATAATAGGTCTTGCTGGGGGGGGGGTTACTATGATCCCCACCTATTTCCGGGTCACGCTGGACCTATTCTCGGGGACAGTGGGGGGGGGTTCCAGAAATAGGTCTGGGAAGGGGTGTTGTGATGTGTCGTTTCTGTGGATGTCGATGTGTATCGATGTATGTATGTAGTATATATGCATGCATGCATGTAGTTTATACTTGTAGTTGTAGCATGTCCAGAGACTTCAAGCGGGAACGTGAGCTGGGTCTAGACAGTCGCGAAACGAGGCTGATCCGAGGGCATTTGGCCCAAGTGCTTCGACCGACTTCCGAGGGGGCCCCAACTTGTTTATTCTTATCGGTGTGACAACTGATATGTCTTCAACTGGTGTCTTTATTTTCTTAAGTAAGGTCTGAAGCCACCATGACGGCATAGGGGGATATTTTTTTTTTAAGCCAGTATGTCGGCACTGGGTGCTACCATAGCTATTTGCTTAAGTAAGCCACTATGTCGGCATAGGGGGAAGGGTTTCTTAAGCCAGTATGTCGGCATGGGACAGAGTAGTTCAAGCAAGCATTAAGCAAGCATAGCAAGCATAGGGGCCGGCGCCATGCCTTGGACATGCTGGTATCGTTCGTACGGGGGAACACGACATGAATGCCGGGGCCTCATCTCTGATCGGATCGCTTTTTTTTTTCCGGATTAGTTGCATTATGTATTCCTGCTCTTGTCCATGCTGAGTCCAATTCCAGTACGTGGCGCCCGGGGTGGAGACGGAAGTTTTTCGGTCGAAAAAGAAGGCAGGGATCCAGATTGCTCATGATCGGTTGTTCTGCTGGCTCCCTGACCGTAGGCGGATGCTTGGGCTGCAGCCAACCATTATCCTCAGGCTCCGGGGTGAGTCTCATCTCATTTTCTTGGCCCCCCCCGTACCTTGTGCAGGTGCCGGAGCAACTGAAGGCGGATGCGAGGGCATCCACAGCCGACGGAGACTTTGGATTGGCTCGGGAGAAATCGGACGAGGCCGAGATGGAACATGGTCGTTGAGATTTCGGGGTTTGCTGGGTTTGTGGCTTTGGGGTTCGACTGCTGGGTGCTTGCCGCTTAGGTAAGAACATAGTGCTATGCCGGACCAGCTGAGTAGCCTTTGCTTTGCATCAGGTGGCCCCAAATGCGCCCGGTGAGGCCAGCCATTGCCGGGGTTGTTCAGCTTCGGCAGATTGATCTGGGTAGTCGCCGGTGCTTGTTGCTAGGTGCCTTGTGTTCTCGGTGTCCTGGCGGCCAGGTACCTTTGGCTGCAGCTCCTGATGCTGCGGAGCATGCGGGGTTCTCGGATTGAAGCCTCTGCTGTGCAGCCGATGAGTTGGGAGAAGTTTGAGTCAGAGCCAGTGTGTTGTGACATGTTGTGACCCGATGCAACCCCCTCCTTGGCCCCTTGTTGCTAGCTGCCTTGTGTTCTCGGCGTCCTGGCGGCCAGGTACCTTTGGCTGCAGCTCCTGATGCTGCGGATCATGCGGGGTTCTCGGACTGAAGGATGAGTTGGGAGAAGTTTGAGTCAGAGCCAGTGTGTTGTGACCCGATGCAACCTCCTCCTTGGCCCTTGGAACTCAACCCCGGAAACCCCCAGCCTCCAACTTCGTGCCAGGTGCAGCAGGATGCAGCTGGCGATGATGGGGCGGAACCGCAGGTGCGCCCGGGGGACCTCAACCCACACAGCCCTATCCCAGCCTGGATCAGGGTTTGGGGGTCTAGGGTTTGCTTGCATGCGGTCATCAGTGTGATTCAGTGTGAAAACATGGCCTATCGATCCGCCGGGTGCATCAAGACATGTTCACGAGAGCAGAAGTCGCATGTGGACCAGTGTGCCAATGACTGCATAGCTTGCTTGATTGTCATTATCAGGTTGAATCTATATAAGCTGTGAACATGAGGCCTAGCGAATCGCTTATCGATCGACGAAAGCTCGATGATTGGATCTTCAGTAGGAATTCAAACTGTGAAAACATGAAATAGCTGCTATCCTCTAGGTCTGAGAAATATCCAGCCAAGACATTCCTGCGTGGTTGCATCCTGTTTCCTTAACCCTCGTGCCGCCATAGCTGCTGGAGATTGCTGGGTATCGACTGCTGGCTAGTGCCATTGTCCTTGCCTGGGTAGATCTGGCTAGTGTTGGGCGAAGATCCTGGCTTGTGGCCTTGACCTGGCTAGCGTTTGGCGGAGATCCAGCAGCCTTTGGAGTTGCAACGACCTGGCTATTACTGGGCTCTGGTCCAGTTTTTTTGGCTGCCTTTGCTGTTTCTGTGGGTACCACGATGAAGAGCACGAAGGCCATGAAGGCCATGAAAGCAATGAAGGCTGCGAAGGCCATGAAGGCGATGAAGTCCATGAAGGTGATGAAGTCCATGAAGGCGAACAGGGCGGCCATGAAGCCCATGAAAGCAATGAAGGCTATGAAGGCCATGAAGGCGATGAAGTCCATGAAGGCGAACAGGGCGGCCGGGAAGGCCAAGAAAAAGCCAGCGAAGAAGGACCACGACAAGAAGAAGGACGACGACAAGAAGAAGGACGACGACAAGAAGAAGGACGACGACAGGAAGAAGGACCGGTATGAGTTGGCACCCCTGTCACCGCACCGGTTGCCGGGGGTGGCGGGGGAGCTCTGGGAGCTCAACCAGGTTGTGGACGGCGAGGTGATCTGCCACATCTCCGTCAGCCCGAATAGATCGTGGAGAAGGCCATGGAGCCG